GCCAGCCGCCACCGGAGGGTCTGACCCCACCAGGCACTGAGGGGACTTGAGTCCATTGTCACAGGGAGCTGAGCCCTCGCTCCCACCGACTGCCCGGGGAGCAGCAGCTCTCCTGCCGGGACTATCCCCGGTGCCGGGCTGCTCCCTCGGCACCGGCCCGGGCTCCGGGGAGCGGGGAGCCCCCAGAGACTCCGGCGAGCCCCGGGGGCCTCTCCCCGCCGCTGCCCAGCGAAGGCAGATGAGCTCCCCGCTCTCCTCGGAGCCCGGGGCGAGGCCTCCCCCGGTGCAAACGGCAGTGACCCTCGGGGAGGGGGCACCACGGGACCCGGCGGGGGGCGGGCGAGGCCTCTCTCGGCGGCAGCGGGCCGCTCCCTCCCGCTTGACGGCCTCACGGCGCCGGGCGGCTCCCACCGCCCCCCAGCAACTCACGCCGAGCGGGGCAGCGCGTCCGGAGCCCCCTCGCTGGCGGGGAGCCGCTATAGGGGGCCGCCATGGGGAGCCGCCATCACCGGCCGCCCCTCACCGCGGGGCGAGCCCCGGGCCGGAGAGGCCGCGCGCAGCACCACTGCCCCGCCTCCTGCCTGCGCCCATAGGCTGGCCGTCCCCCCCTGGCAGCCAATCCCCTCCTCGGCTGGCACGCACTTCCGCCTCGCTTCTGGGCGTTCCCCTGCAGTTTCTTCCGCGTTCGCTGTGATTGGTTGCGAGCGCCTATTCCCCGCCCCCCGCGGCGAGACGGCGGGCGCCCATTGGCTGGCGGCGGCGCGGCGGCGGCGCGGCCCGGAGGCGGTGGCGTTTCCTAGCAGCGGGCGCCGCCATGGCGCCGCGGCGCGGCGGGCCGGTGGGGTACGCGCTGCTGTGCGGGCAGGCCGCGCTGCTGCTGGGCAACCTGCTGCTGCTGCAGGGCGCCTCCCGCGGCCTCCCCGACAACGGCACCGATACGGAGCAGCCCGGCCCGGGGCCGCCCGCCGCCTCCTGGGTCTACACCGACCCGCAGGCGCCGCTCGTCCTCTGCACCTACCTGTGAGCACCGGGCCGGGGCGGGGGGCAGCGGCAGCCTCACCCCCCCTCACCGCTCCCTCCCTCCCCGCAGCCCCGATGAGTTCGTGGAGTGCGAGGAGCCGGTGGACCACGGCGGGAACGCCACGGCGCAGCAGGAGCTGGGCCACGGCTGCGTGAAGGTGAGGGGCGGGCGGGGAGCGGCGGCGGGGCCGGGCCTGCGGCGGGGCCTGGGGGCCTGCCCGACGCTGAGGGTCACCCCCCCGCCCCGCGGTGCCCCGCAGTTCGGCGGACAGGCCTACGGCGAGGTGGAGCACACCCGGGTGCAGTGCCGGGCGCTGGACGGCATCGAGTGCGCCGAGCCGCGGAGCTTCCTGCGGGGCAGCCGGCCCTGCGTCAAGTAGGACGGACACCTTCCCCCGCTCCCCTCCCGGGCCTGCGCCTCCCCCGGCCCCCGCGGGAGGGAGCCCCGCCGGCAGCCGCGGGACCGGGCCGGCGGGATGCTCCCGGGGGGGGGGGCCGGGGGAAG